GGTAATTTATGAAGGAAAAAAGTGTAGGGTGAACGTGATGGCTCATGCCTGTAATCCCAGCACTAGGGGAGTCAAGGCGGGTAAGTCATTTGAATCCAGGGATTTGAAACCAGCCTGGGCAACATGGTGAAACCCTGTCTCTACAAAAAATACAAAAATTGGCTGGGTGCAGTGATTCACACCTGCAATCCCAGCACTTTGGGAGGCCGAGGCGGGTGGATCACTTGAGGTCAGGAGTTCAAGACCCCCGACTAACATGGTGAAACCCTGTCTCTACTAAAAATACAAAATTAGCCAGGTGTGGTGGCGCATGCCTGTAATCTCAGCTACTTGGGAGGCTGAGGCAGGAGAATCACTAGAACCCGGGAGGTGGAGGTTACAGTGAGCTGAGATGGCGCCACTGCACTCCAGCCTGGGGGATAAGAGTGAAACTCTGTCTGGAAAAAAAAAAAAAAAATTAGCCAGGTGTGGCAGCACGCTCCTATGGTCCCAACTACTCAGGAGGCTGAGATGGGAGGATTGCTTAAGCCTGGGAGGTCAAGCCTGCAGTGAGCTGTGATTGTAGCACTGCACTCCAAGCCTGGGTGACAGATTGAGACTATCCCCCCCCCCAAAAAAAAAAAAAAGAGAGAGAAAAGAGGTTTAATCGGCTCATGGTTCTTGGTTCTACATCCTGTAGGAAGCATAGTGCTGACATCTGCTTCTGGTGAGGGCCTCAGGAAGCTTACAATCATAGCGGAAGGCAAAGGGGGAGCAGGTGCATCACATGGCAAGAGCTGAGCAAGAGAGAGGAGAAGGTGCCAGGCTCCCTTCAAACAACCAGCTCTCAAGTGAACTAAGGGAACAAGAACTCACCTCTCCCCAAGCGGATGGCACTAAGCCATTAATGAGGGATCTGCCCCCATGACCCAAACACCACCCACCAGGCCCCACCTCCGACATTGGGGATTACATTTCAACATGAGATTTGCAGGGGACAAAAGATCCAAACTATGTCAAGTGGCTTCTTTCAGTGTCAGTGATGATTACCTTGAAGGGTGTTATGAGCAGCTTAGGGTCAAGTGAATTGTACTAACGCAATGCCTAGCTCAAGCTGAAACAAACAAGTAGGATTAGAAATATGTGCCTGTGCCAAAAATACTGGTATATCAAAATGTGGAAGAATCCCTTCCATTGCTTTTAGTCCTTCCATTATTGAGTAATCTCCTTTCAGTATAAGACCTGGCACTGTGTTTTATAAACAATTTAGGAAAGAGAATGTGATACTAAATTTGGTGGCAGGGATATGAAAGGAATTCAGTGCTCAAGAATCTGAAAACTGTGATGAAAAATGTCGTTTCAGCTGAGGTTATTTTTTGTAGCCCCTGTGGGCTGATCATTTGTTTGAATGTTTTCATTGTGGAATATTAAATAGTAGTCAACATTGATTGATCAACTAATATGTGTCAGGCACTGTCCTAGACAGTTTTCAATATACAGAATATTTTGTTTGCTCCTCGTGAAACCCTGTGATATGGGCATCTTATTATCCTCATTTTGCAGGTGAGAAAATTGAGGTCAGAGAGAGCTCAATGAAACACAGCCCCTAACTTACGCTTTTTGCTTCAGTTCATGAATGTTGTTGTTTTATGTAGTTAGTTTTAATTCAGGAATGCACGGAGGGTCTTCTATGCCAAACCTTTGTGAAAATGTAGGTTGAATTTGTTTGGAGCCTGTGATGGGTGGGATAGCTCTTCTGTATATAGCAGGGCAGGATGGCCCTAGTGCAAGTCACAGTAAGCAACCTGCTTTTTTTTTCTCCTTAATCCCTTAGTTCAGCTTGAGGACTTTATCCTGGTGCTTGCCTAAGGGACACCCTCGTCACCATTTTAATTATGATCAATTATGGAACATTTTCTATGTGCCAGCTATCATGCTGAGCACTTTACAGAATTAGTTCATGGAATCATTAGAATAACCTTATGAGGCTGCTACTCTTGTTTTCTTCATTTAACATGTGAGCAGAAAGAAATAACTCACATGAGATCTCACAGCTGGCAAGTAGTTGAGAAGGGATTTGAACCTGTCTGACTCCAGAGTCCATCTTCCTAACCACAGTGGTATTTTGCTCCAACATCAGACTGTTTTTTTTTTTTTTTTTTTAATTAGAGATAGGGTCTTGCTCTTTTTCCCAGGCTGGAGTACAGTGGTGCAATCATAGCTCATCACAACCTCAAACTCCCAATGCTCCTGCCTCAGCTTCCCAAAGTGCTGGCTTACAAGCATGAGCCACCAAGCCAGACTGTCCCCTGCCTCAACACCAGACTTTGCTCTCAGTCTTAGGATCCCTACATTGGGTACTAATTTATTTGGATGTAGATAGGTTTAATCTAAAATCCAGATACACTTGCCAAATAACTTTAGGTTTCCCCCCAGAACATATGGTATTGTTAGCTATATCATACGTAGTTTGAACTAGTTTTTAGATTAATTACCTAAAGAAGCTGCAATTGCTTCTTTGTAAACGCTACCTGGTGGATGATGTGTTACTGGGACAGTATGCAGATATTCAAATCACAGAAGCATTTTTCTCATATATCAGAAGAGAGCATTATGACACCTCACCAGAAGCAGGGCATCCCTGGGGGAGGCTTGGTGATGTGGCAGAAAATCAACTTTCAAAGCTTTATAGAGTTTATCATAAAATGACATCCACCTCCTTTCATTTCAATCCAAGTGCTTTCAAGAGTACAAAAATAAACATTAGAAATTAACAGGCTGCTTTTCTGATAGACCAAACAGTAGCTACTTGGACCTAAAGGGCAAATTTTATTCATCATGTATATGTTTTAGTAAAGTGAGATTTGTTCTCATTGTGGGAATTCCCACACTGCCCCACTCCTATGTAAGAAAATTATAGACAAGCATAGAGAATGATGCTGCATAAAAGCTGATAGCATAATAACCAATTAGAGGATTATAAAGCCTGAGTATATTAAAGTGTTATGCAAATACTGATTAATAGTAATACCATAAACTCACACAGCAAGCAAAAGCATGCCTGATTCAAATTATAGGAGCTTTTATTTGCATTTCTACAGAATCTATTATTAGTGAGTCTCAAAGCACCTTACAAGTAATAATTATTAAAGCTCATAAACCTGACCAGTAAATTTCATGTTATGAAGTAAATATGAAAGAATTCCTCTTTACCTCACATATATTATAAGACCTAAATTCCCAAACAAAAATAGGATTCTCTGCATATGGAGAATATTCATACACTATGGTGTCTTTGGCTATGGTTCTATAGGCTTAGAAATGGGTTGCTATGGATTCAAGGCTTTCCTATTGAGTACCTCAATTTATGTAGTTAGAACTCTTCACTTATTTTTGAAATTTTGCCTACGTGATAGCTCTAAACAAATCTTGCTAGTATATTTTAATATCTCTCAATTGACTATAATATCAAATTTTAAAAGCAAAAATGATGTCAAGTTCACGTGCAAGTACTTTAAAATATTTTGGAATATTACATGGAGTTTATTTTTCCTCAAGCTATACCCTGTTCTGCGGACTCATCGCTTATGAGCACAATCAGTGAAGCCTGTGTTTCTTTCTATACCCTGCAGCAAGCAGTTGAAATGTTGTAAGGGTTTCTAATCTGCGTGAGAATGCTCCTACACCCTTTCTCCTCTACTCCTCCTCCTCTCTTCCCTCCTTTGCAATTCCCGTACTCTCTAAAGCTAGCACAGATTGGAAAGGCAAGAATGTTTCAGGTGTCTGACTCTCCCTGTCCCTCCATCTCAAGTCCTCAAGCTTCCCCCACATTCATACTCAGTTTGATTTACTTCTGGTGCTGAGAGTCTGTTTAATATATTGCAGTTTCTAGTCACTGTTGTGAGGCAGCTGGACTTTCGTACTGTACTTATACTTCAATGGCACGCAGATCCAAAGAAATGTGTGGACTAGTGAGCACCTTCCTTTATAATTAGGATGCTGGAGCCTCGAGAGTCGAATGACTTGACTGAGGTTGTGCAGCTGGTTTCTGCCTCACAGAATCAGGGCCAGAGCTCAGGTCTCTAGGCTCTTAAACCAAAGTTTCCCCTTCTGTCTCGTGGTAGTTATATACTGCTTTGAATCACACACACAAATTTTGAACCAGAGACATTGGAGCAGAGTGAGAGGAAATACTTTGCTGATTTTATCCAGGACCGTGAGTCACAAGGCTAGAGGTGGAGCCTCAGGGATCTGAAGAAAAAGGGAGTGATGCCCAGATGTGGTGGCTCACGCCTGTAATCCCAGCACTTTGGGAGGCCGAGGTGGGCAGATTACCTGAGGTTGGGAGTTCTAGACCAGCCTGACCAACATGGATAAACCCCTCTACTAAAAACACAAAATTAGCCGAGCATGGTGGCACATACCTGTAATTCCAGCTACTAGGGAGGCTGAGGCAGGAGAATCGGTTGAACCCAGGAGGTGCACGTTGTGGTGAGCCGAGATTGCGCCACTGCACTCTAGCCTGGGCAACGAGAGGGAAACTCCGTCTCAAAAAAAAAGGGAGGAAGTGATGTTCTTGCAGAATTGAAGGGGTAGACCTGGGATTATCATTTGGAGGAAGGAGCTGAATGACTGCACGTCAAGGGGAATAAAGAGCGAGTTGAAGTGGAGACAGGGCAAGGTAGAAGAGCAGTCTTAGGAGGATTAGAAGGATGGTTGAGTTTATGGCCATGGCGATAGGTTATTGATGGAAAATAAAGCAAAACTCAATAGGTTATGGGATGGATGGTCCTTAGGGTCTGTGAAGTCTCTCAGGATGATGCCGGAAGGAGAGGGAGAGATGGGGCATGTGCAGCAGGTAGCAAAGTTCTCCAGGAACACAGACTACTGGCAAATCCCTGGGAGACAGGGGTGACTGGAGGGATGGAAACAGAGAGACTGGAGGGATGGATTTTGGAACTCTGTAGCTAAGTGTAAATTCCGTGCTATACTTCAGAATTCTAATTTTCATATTTTTCTAGGGAAAACTGAGGCTGCCATCAAAAACTTCAGTCCCTACTACAGTCGTCAGTACTCTGTGGCTTTCTGTAATCACGTGCGCAGTGAAGTAGAACAGCAAAGAGATTTAACGTCACAGTTTTTGAAGACCAAGGTAAGCCATGGATATTTGGTTTACATGGTTTTCCCCTTGAAGAAGGCTATATAGCGCACAATATTTCTGAAATAAACAATAATTTGAATGGCAGTTTTAAAAACTCTGCTCTAAAGTCGTTTCATACTCAAAAAACTCTATTTGCCTGGAAGTTGGAATGTATGATTTCTTTTTGCTGATAACAATCCATATAAAAAGGAAATTAGCATGAATCCAATATTGTTATGTATTTTTCCCACATGGATGCTTTGTTTATATCAGAAAATTTGACTTGCTGTCATGAAGTTTTGGTCATTGATCAAATATGAGTTTCTCTTTGAACCCCCTAATTTATTCTTACTCCTTTGCTCCGTTATAATAAGTAACACCACCTCAACAAATGTTTGTTAGCACCTACTATGTGCTAGGCTATAGTCCAAGAACTGGGGAATTAAGACAAGTTCTCTGCCTTCCTGGAGTTTATATTCACATGCAGGAAACAGACAACAAACAAGCTAATATCAGATGACATCAGATAATAATAAATGCTAAAAAGAAAAATAAAGCAAGAGACTTATTTTATTTTTGGGATGGAGTCTCGCTCTGTGGTTCAGGCTGGAGTGCAGTGGTGCAGTCGCAGCTCACTGCAACCTCTGCTTCCCGGGTTCGAGTGATTCTCCTGCCTCAGCCTCTCGACTAGCTGGGATTACAAGTGTGTACCACCACACCCAGCTAATTTTTGTATTTTTAATAGAGACAGGATATTCACCATATTGGCCAGGCTGGTCTTGAACTCCTGACCTCAAGTGATTCATCTGCCTCGGCCTCTGAAAGTGCTGGGATTACAGGTGTGAGCCACCGCGCCCAGCCTAGAGCCGTGTTTTAGAGAAGGTGGTTAGGGGAACCCTCTGTGGAGATAACATTTAAGCAGAAACTGGAGTATAATGAGAGTAGACTCTGTGAATATTCATGGGAAGAGTATTCCAGGCCTATGGAACAGCAAGTGTGAAGACCTTGCCACACAGAGGGAAGGTTGGTCTGCTGGGAGTACTGTGAGTGAGGGAGGAGGGGCGAACAATGACAGCATAGAGATAGGTCAGGACCACATTATGTCAACCTGTGGATCACAATAGGGTTTTGATTTTGTTTTGTGTTGGGAAGTCCCACTGGAGGGTTTTGAATACAGAGTGACATATAATTTTAGGTGATCTGTCTGGCTTCTCTGTAGAGAATAGACTATGGGGCAAGAGGGGAGAATGGAAACTGGCAAGCAGGATACTGTAGCACCCAAGGGAAGAATGATGCCAAATTGGACTGGGGTGATGATGGCCATGGTTGTGAGGAGAGGTGTTTATGATCGAGCTGACAGAACATACTGTTGGGTTGGGTGTGAGATAATAGAAGAAGAGAGAAATCAGTGATGACTTTTTGGTTTTTAACCAGAGCAAATAAGTGGATGGAGTTGCCTTTTACTTAGAAGGAAGAGTCGGAGTGAATGGGATCACAAGTTCCCTTTTGACCATGTTAAGTTTGAGATGCTAGTTTGACATATGCCTGTGGAAATGTTGAATAGGCCATTGGATGTTTTCATTTGGAGCTCAGCAGAGTGATTGAGGCTGGAAAATAGAAATGTGGAAGTTGTTAGCTTATAACTGGTATTAAGGCCATGGGCCATAAAAGAGGGAAAGAATATAGACAGAGAAAAGAAACAGTACACTGGCCCCTTCAGCATTATGAAATCAGAAAAAGGAAAAGGATCCAGCAAAATGGACTAAGAAGAAACAGTCTATGGAGTAGGAGAAAAATCAGAAAAGTATAATGTCCCAGAAGGCAAATAAAAAAGGGATTTCAGAATTAAGAACTCAATCCCATTTATAATAGCCACCCCCACCCAACACACACACCCACACCCACACACACACACACACACACCCCCACACACACACACCTCTAGGAGTACATTTAACCAAGGAGATGAAAGATCTCTACAAGGACTACAAAACCTGGATGAAAGAAATTGTAGACAACACAAACTAATGGAAACACATCCCATGCTGACAGATTGGAAGAATCACTATCATTAAAATGACCATATTCACCAGAGCAATATACAGCTCCAATTCAATTGCTATCAAATTACCAATGTCATTTTTCACAAAATTAGAAAAATTAATCCTAAAGTTCATATGCAACAAATAAAAGCCCGAATAGCCAAAGCACGCCCAAGCAAGGGAACAAATCTGGAGGCATCACATTGCCTGACTTCAAATTATACTACGAGGCTATACTAACTTAATCAACAGGCACTGAGACAAAAATAGACATGTAAACCAATGGAACAGAATAGAGAACCCAGAAATAAAGCCACATACCTACAACCAACTGATCTTTGATAAAATCAACAAAAATAAATAATGAAGAAAGGATACCCCATTCAATAAAAGGTGCTGGAAAAACTGACTAGCCATATGTAGAAGAAGGAAACTGGACCCCTATCTCTCACCATGTACAAAAGTTAACTTGAGACGGATTAAAAACCTAAATGTAAGACGTGAAACTATAGAAATCTTAAAATAAATCTTAGGAAAAACTCTTCTGGACATTTTAGGCAAAGAATTTGTGGTGAAGACCCCAAAAACAAATGCAACAAAAATAGACAAATGAGACTTAGTTATACTAAAAAGCCTATATACAAAAAAAGAAATAGTCAATGAAATCAACAGGTAACCTACAAAATGGGAGAAATATTTGCAAATTATGCCTCTAACAAAGGACTAATGTCCAGAATCTACAAGAAACTCAACAAGAAAAAATAGCCCCATTAAAAACTGGGCAAAGGACGTGAACAGACATTTCTCAAAAGAAGACATACAAGTGGACAACAAACACATGAAAACATACTCAGCATCACTAATCATCAGATAAGTGTGTATTAAAATCACACCGGCCGGGCACGGTGGCTCATGCCTGTAATCCCAGCACTTTGGGAGGCCGAGGTGGGTGGATCACCTGAGGTCAGGAGTTCAAGACCAGCCTGGCCAACATGGCGAAACCTTGTCTCTACTAAAAATACAAAAATTAGCCAGGCGTGGTGTCACATGCCTGTAATCCCAGCTACTCAGGAGGCTGAGGCAGGAGAATCACTTGAACCCGGGAGGTTGCAGTGAGCTGAGATCACGCCACTGCACTCCAGCCTGGATGACAGAGTGAGACTCTGTCTCAAAACAAAAGAAAACAAACATAAAACAACAACAAACCACACCAAGATATCATCTTACACCAGTAAGAATTGCTGTCATTAAAAAGTCAAAAAATAACGAATGATGTGGATGTGGAGAAAAGGAAATGCTCATACACTGTTAGTAGGAATGTAAATTAGTTCAACCCCTAGGGAAAACAGTATGGAGATACCACAAATAACTAAAAAAGAACTATCATTCGACTCAGCAATCCTACTACTGGGTATCTACCCAAAGGAAAAGAAATCATTATATAAAAAAGACTCCTGTACGTGTATGTTTATCACAGCACTGTTTTTAATAGCAAAGTCATGGAACCAACCTAAGTATGCACCAGTGGTTGACTGGATAAAGAAAATGTGGTATATATTCACCACAGGATGCCACACAGTCATAGAAAAGAACAAAATCATATCCTTTGCAACAACATGGATGGAGCTGGAGGCAATTATCCTAAGTGAACTAACTCAGAAACAGAAAATCAAATACCACATGTTTTCACTTATAAGCAGGAGCTAAGTAATGGGTACACATGGACATAAAGATGGAGAGAATAGACTCTGGAGACTCCAAAAGTGGAGAAGGTGGGAGGGGAATGAGGATTGAAAAATTACCTGTTGGGTACAATGTTCAAGATTTGGGTGATGGGTACACTAGGAGCCCAATCCCCACCCTTACACTTAATTCCCATGTAAGAAACACACGTACCCCTTGAATATAAAATTTAAAAAACTAAAAATGAAAAAGAAGGGGTTTCAAGAGAGAATAAGTGATAAGTGAGTCACATAATGCTGAGAAGTTAACTAATATATTTAGCAGCATGAGTACATAGGGATAAGTGATTGCTCTCCCTCATAAAACAGTGATCTCAAAATGTGGGGAGCTTGTTAAAATGCATATTCTGGCCCACAGCCCCAGAGATTCTGATGTAGTAAGTCTATGGTGAGGCCCCATTTTTAACAAGCTTATCAGTTGATTGAGTGGCCCAGATTTTAAGAAAAGTTGCACATAAGAACTACGAAGTTCATCTTATACCATGGTTTCAGTTTCATTTAAAGAGAAGAGATTCTCTCTTACCTTTTAATGAGGCAAGATAGGAGACTGCCGCATCATCTGTCAGGTTAGAATATTAAGCGCTGGAATTTGGAAGGGAATTTGTTTCATCCCTTAGATGATTCTTAAAAGAGATTGGCATATCTATTTTTTTTTCTGTATAGTTCATTTAAAATTTTACTTGAAAGTAGAGGGGTAAGTTTCTGAAGGCACTATGATTTTTTAGTAAAGGGAAAATAGATGTAAATTCAGTGACACGTAAAAGACAAGAGGCCCATTTGTATATTTTGAAATAATTTGAGAATTACACAATGAAGCAGGATGGGAATTATCCTTACACAGTTAACCCAATGGAAGACCTAACTAGGAATCTAATGGAAATGCCTGTACAGTACATATATCACCATGGTTAATGAAAAATCCTCAAACTTTTAAGTAGAAGAGGTAGAACTGAGGTGTTCTGACTTGATACCTGCTTATTCTTTAACCAAATAGCAAACACAATCTCCTTGAGTAGCACGGAGAGGGGTCCCCATGGCTTTGGGTTTAAGAAAACCATTGAGCATTAGAGGCTGCATCGGCAGGTGTATTGAATAGGAGAACGGTCTGTTAATTCTCCTGCTTTGCGGGGATCAACCCTGAGACATGTTCAGACATGTCCTTGTGGATATCCACACTTACACTTTCCTGCCTCACTCCCTCTCTCCCATAGAGTTTATCAAGCATTTATTGAGTGCCACATGTATGCAAGGCATAATAACCTTAAGTAATAACTATAATTCCTTCTACCATATGCTTCTGTTCCTACAGCATAATAGAGGGAAATGAAAATCATAAAAATACCAATAAGACAAATATTTACGTTGGGTCAAGCAGAGCAGGAAAGGGAAATTGTGGAGGGAGAGGAGGAAGCAACAGTTTCCCCAGGATCTCAGTGGAAGATAGTTTCCTCAACTATTCCTTGAAATACCATGGATAACTTAGTGGTAACAAGGAGTGTTATCATTTGTTGTGATAGTTAATTGTGTTCATCTTCTTTAAGCCACCATTGACGCCTGGAACTATTTTGTATGAAGCAGAGCTATCACAATTTTCTGAAGACATAAAGAAGTGGAAGGAGAGATACGTTGTAGTTAAAAATGATTATGCTGTGGAGAGCTATGAGAATAAAGAGGTAAGACACTTCTTTGTTACTACTGGTTCTTGCACTATTCTTAAAAGTTTAGCTGGGTTCATTGGTGTGCCCTCTCCTTGGAGACTGATTTATTCAGTAAGCACTCATTCATGTAGGTACCAGTTTCAGCTAACAGATACTGATTGAATGCCTACTGCATATCAAGTGTTATACAAGGTTCTGGGTATACAGCAGTTGGTAAGACAGATGCTTGCTGTCTCGTGGCAAGGTAGACTTTGAACAGGTGATTACAAGTGAGTATGAAGATAGAAGGACCAGTATTTGGCATAGGAGCCTTTCCTATGATCATTCAGCCTCGAGATCTTTCTCAGCCACTGTCCTGATGTCTCTGCTCTATGTCCCTGTCTTCCCACTCTGAAGCCCTGTGCGTGACAGGTGGCTGAGGAGTTATTTCATAGGTTGTTATTGAATTTGAATCTGCCTGGGTTTGCCTGGGTTCCTAGGAATTCAGAATGCCTCACATACTTTATTCCCATGGAGGTATTTTTTTTTCATTTAACTTTTTTTCTGGTTATTTCATTATTTTCCTTATCTGTAAAATGTGAAGATGAGATAATGGGTGTAAAGCATTCAGCACTTGGGAGGACTTCAGTTTTTATTGGTTCCCATTTCTTTCCTTATGTAGGGAGGTAGTGTGGTACAGGGGAAAAAATATCAGGCAGTGAATTTGGCAAACTACAGGTTAGGTCAAGTTGTGCCATTAACTAGAAGTGAACTCATTGACAAGTGACTTCCTGTCTTCAGGCCTCAACTAAGCTAAACAGTTACGTCAAATGATCCCACTGTCCTCCCAGATCTCATACTGTGCACATTTTTTAGTCTACATAGACCCTCAAGCTCCCTTTGAAATGAACAGGTACTATTTATCAGTGAAGGATAGTGACAGATTTAAAACTCTGCTCTCTGGCCTCTGAGCTCAAGAATAGTCAAGACGGCTGGGTGCAGTGGCTCATGCCTGTAATCTCAGCACTTTGGGAGGCCGAGGCAGGCAGGTCAACTGAGGTCAGGAGTTCGTGATCAGCCTGGCCAACATTTTGAAACCCCATCTCTACTAAAAATTCAAAAATTAACTGGGCGTGCTAGTACATACCTGTAGTCCCAGATACTCAGGTGGGTGAGGCAGGAGAATCACTTGAACTCGGGAAGTGGAGGTTGCAGTGAGCCGAGATCACCCTACTGTACTCCAGTCTGGGTGACGGAGCGAGGCTCCATCTCAAAAAAAAAAGAGTAGTCAAGATAGTCTTCATAGAGAACTGTGAGGAGTACTCCTGATGCTAGACCATTAGGAAGAGGCTTCAGACTGACAGACCAATCTGTTTCCTTCCCATTTCTCATGGAAAATAGAAATAAAATATACTACAAATTTATTTCACAAGATACCAGGCAAAGCTCAAGTGCTCTCGGGTAGACTTACTCTTTTCAACATTTATTAAGCTAATATTTTCTCTGCTTATCAATATTAGGATTTTATTCAACACTTGATGTGTACTCAGCAACAAAGTATCAATACGCTACAAATAATAATAACAAGTCACCTTATGTTTTGTATGACCCATTACAATGTCCTTTCAGAAGAGCTTGAGGAGGGACAGTGTAGCGTAATATGGCCCATATTTAGGGCTTTGACTCATACCTTTACCACTTACTTACTAGATATAGCGCCCTTGCCTAAGTTAGAAATCTTGAGTCTCAGTTTTCTCATCTATGAAATGAGATCCGCGTGATTTCTTTGCCATAGTGTTGAGCACAGTAAGTGAATGAATGTACTGAAGCATTTAGCATACGGCTGGGCCTGTGGTCAAGCTAGAGCTGGGTGTGGAGCAGTTGTTGGTATGATTACTACTAACCCATTGGGAGGAAACAGCCCTAGATCTTGTTCTTGGATTTATTAAAGTTTTTCACTGCATTTAACACTAACTGAAGTTTCATTTTGAATCAAATGTTGGTGTTTTTCCTCTTTTCACTTATTTCAGCTTGCTCTCTCAGCTTGCAGTTTGTACATTGCACTGCTTTTTCTTTGTTCATCATTTTTAACTGAACCTGTTCACATTGTTAAGATATGGTGACTGAAGTTGGTAATAACCAAGTATTTTTTAAAACTTGGAATTTTTTAAAGTTCATGCAGTTTGTCATAATTTCTCAAAGTTTTAATAATATATATTTTTTTAGTTTATGGAAGTATCTTATAAAATTATGTCTAAGAATTACACATTAAGTACCTGTAAATTGTCTACTATTTTATTTAGAGTCCAATTTTGGCTGGCAATTAAACAGGAAAAGTAAAACATTCTCACTTGATAATCAGTATCTATTTTGTGTGCACTGGGCCTGGACAGACATGAATATGAATCCTGGATGTGTCACCTACTCACTGCTGGGCCATGGGCAAGTTATTCAGTTTCTTTGCGCTTCACATTTCCCGTTTGAAAAATGGAGATAACATCTAATGCATAGTACCGTTTTGAGGATTAAATGGTATAATGCTTATAAAAGCCAATATTGGAGCCTGTTATAACTAATAATACAATTCACTTTTGAGTCCAGTCTAAATAAAATTGCTTCTAAATCGTCTTAATATCATATAAGTTTAGATTCTTCTCTCAATATTATTGTTTCACCATAATGTAGCTCTGTGGGAGTGCTTAGAGTTTTTTAAGGTATTATTTCATGAGGAACCCTCAATTATGTAGAGATCCTCCTTCCTGGGTTAATCATTCATTCAGAAGAGTCCTCCAGTCTTCCTTATTAGGATGAATAGGTCAGACTGCCAGAATTCTGTGATAGTGAGTATATTCTGCTCCCTGACATGCTTAAGCAGTTGATTAATGGTTGTTACAAGTATGAAGACAAGCCTTTTAGATATCTGAGAGTTTGTTTTATTTGGATCTTTTCACTATCTTATTGCTGCAGAATATGTTACCGTTACTCTGATTATGTTGGTCAGATCAACATTATTTAGTTATTTCCAAGAGTACATTCTAGATTTTGGGTTTCAAAGTTTCTTAGTTTCAATTCTCAATGTGCCTTTAGATTACTAGTTGCAGAATTTTGCCTTGACTTTATCCCTCCCGTCAGATGTGCATACTTAAATTTTATCTTACCTGTATGTCCTTGTGGGCATATGTGCTTACCAAACTGCTTTAGCAATGCCCTGTGCCTCTTTTCTGTGTCTCAAATAGCAGAGCTTCTTGTCTGCTGGCCAGAATTTTTTCTGATGTCACAATGCTGTACTTTCATCTCAACCATTTTGCTGCAAAACAGTTTCACATCTGAGGGCAAAGTAGTGGCATATTTTATGCCAACATTTTAATGTTTTGATGAAAATCCATGGTAACTATCATTGCCGCTACGTGTTCCACAGTCTCATGAGTCATCATATGTGGCCCACGTCAGTCACCAAGCATTCTGTGCAGTATTTCTGTGATCGTCACCTTTGTGGTTATTATCAGAATGATTTAGGTGTTAGCATCTGAAATGACAAATGTGGTAGGGACTTTCTGAGTTACTGAGATTATGTTTTCCACGTTCGAGAACATACTTAGGGTGAATCTCCCTGAGATTAGGGACTCTTATTTACCATGTTGTGACCGTCACATGAAAGTATTAAAATATTACCTTGCCATTAGCAGGTATTCAAAACATATTTTTTGAATAAATGACTGTAACTCAATCACATAGTATGGGGATTGCTATCTCTGAAAGTCTGAATCTATTTGTTTTATTCCTGGTATTTTCCAAAAATCAAATGGGGAAAAAAATATCATTCCTATATGCTTTCCTCCCCCAGGCCTATCAGAGAGGAGCTGCTCCTAAAAGCCGAATTCTTCCAGCTGGTGGCAAGGTGTTAACCTCAGAAGATGAATATAATCTGTTGTCTGATAGGCATTTCCCAGACCCTCTTGGTGAGTTGCTGATCATTCTTTTCCAAGGCAAAATGACTAAGCTTCTTTATTTAGCAGAGCAGTGTTTCTCAGTGAAGGAGAGGGATTTCCCTCCAGGGACATTTGGCAGCATCTGGAGACATTTTTGTTTGTCACAACTGGAAGGAGGGTGCTATGGCATTTATTGAATAGAGGCCAGGGATGGTACAAAACATCCTACCACGCACAGGACAGACCCTAACAACGAAGAGTTATCTGGCATAAAGTATCAGTAATGCCAAGGTTGAGAAACCCTGGGCTAGACACTCATGCCTATAGACAAGTGGAAGATGTGATTTCTATAGTTTAGGAAAACATTTTACCACTTCCGTTATTTCTAATCCCATTCAATAATACACAGTCAGCCTCTGTGTTTCTAGCACATGGAAAATGTGCCATCAGCCAGGTATCTTGAAGCTTTTGGAATATATTGCAGGCTTTGATAGCACTCCACAAGGCAGCAGAAATAAACAGGTAGGGCCCACTCCATGACATGTACAATCCCATCTTTTAGTAAGCAAGCCTGGACCTGTCAGGGAATACTATTTTTCTAATTATAGGATGATATACAAGTAAATACCCTAAATAGACAAAAAACCTTTTAATCAGTGTTACCGTAACTCATAGCTACTGTGAAAAAAAAAAAAAAAAAAAAAGCATTGCATTAATTTGCATATCTATAAATAAAGCTGGGATGCTGCTATGGAAAGAGAATTGGGAGACTGGATTTTTATCTAGTTCTGGCTGTGCCACTTACCAAATGCTTTAGCTTAGCCGGCTGCTGAACAGTTCTGGTTTCTATTTCTTCAACTCAAAAACAGGGCTTTGAACTTAAAAAACCTAGAAATGTCTTTCTAGCTCTAACTTTCTTTAATTCTCATTCATTCCACTTTTTACATATGGAGAAATGATGGCTAATATATAGACCAAATAGGGCATTTCATAGAGATTCATGAAGTGTGGATAATGTAATAACTCCATTTGGCTTTGCGTAAATCATACTACCCAGTAATTACTTGGTTCCTGAAGAGAGCCCTGGTTCTTATTAATGGACATAATAATTTAATTAGAATTTATGGAGAAAAACGTAATCATTTTATCAATTGTTATTTCAGTGCTGACTGCTTAGCATAGTGTTTTTAATAACACAATTACGGGATTGGTACATGGACCATAAACCAAGATTAACAAATTATTACTAAGTAATTCATGCTAAAACAACATTTTATTGCACTATGCATATTATTATATTTTCTTTTACATCTACTTATATGCCCTTGGAGGTGGAGCTGCAGCTAGAAATGGGAATACCAACATGTTGACTCATCCAAATCTCTCTCAAACTTTCCAATGAAATCAGTCAGAAGAGACAATATGTTTATTGATTTATTGCTGAAATCATATTGGAAGGAATGAAAAGGACTAAAAAACACAAGTCCTGTGTGATTAATCCCAGTTGGCCCAAGGCTTCAGATTGGGGCATTTCAATGACTTTTTAAAATTGTGTGGTGTGACCTTCTGACTTTTAAAATAGAATATTCTACAGTAGATCAGTTGTGATATTCTTGTAACTCAGAAAAAATTCACTGATGCCATCTGGAAAATTGTTGTAAAAGGTTGAGAGATAACTAGAGGCTAATAGGAATGAATTTTATGGGCTTGTTGAGGCTTTTTAAATGCAAAGGGTCAATGTTGCTTTTAGTTGCTTGTACAAAATTGTGGCATTCTTGGAGAGGGCAAGGAGGATTGATAGAACCATGTCAATGAAGAAGACTGACTCTGTGATATTATTTCTACTGGAAAGAATAAAGGCATAATAAAGATGGGAGGCTTATGAATAAGTGCATTTCTTTTTCTTTTCTTTTCTTTTTTTTTTTTTTTGAGACAGAGTCTCGCTCTGTTGCCCAGGCTGGAATGCAGTGACGTGTGATCATGGCTCACTGTAGCCTCAACCTCCTGGGCTCAAGTAATCCTCCCACCTCAGCCTCTCGAGTAGCTGGGACCACAGCTACATGCCACTATGCCCAGAAAAACAAAATGAAACAAAAAAACAAAAAAGGAATTGCAGAAACAATGGTCTTACTCTGTTGCCCAAGCTGGTCTTTAACTCCTGAGCTCAAGTGACCATCCTGCCTTGGCCTCCCAAAGTGCTGGGATTATAGGCATAAGCCACCATGCCTGGCCAATAAGTGTATTCTTTACAGAGTGTTCAGCTAAGTTGATAACAGAAAAAAATGGCCCCATGTTTTGTTAAAGTAATTCACTTGTTTGGCATTTTACTGGTTAGCATCTGGTTCACTGCATACAACAAAAAACTCAAAGTTTTATTATTTCACTAAAGATATTTGGATATTCGTCCAGGGCTGATGTGGACTAAATTTGTCAGAAGCTCAGGCTCTTTCTTGCTTTCTCCCCCTTTGTTTCTAGGTTGTGGTCCCTACTGGCAGAGTCCAGGGTGGCTGCTGAGCTCCTACCATAGCGTTCTCATTCCAGATAATAGGGAGGAGAAAAGGAAAGGAGGGGGGTACAGTCACTTTCTTTAGAGATACCTCCAGGAAGTTTCATATGCCACTTCAGTTTATATCTTACTGGACAGATCGTAGTAGCTGTGGGCTCACCAAGCTGCAAGGGAGGCTGGAAATGTAGTCTTAGTTTATGTAGTCACTTGCCCATCTAAAAATCAGGGGCCTTATTCTCACCAGAAAGTGAAATAGATATCATTTTACAACTATAGGTGTCCCTATAGCATTCAATCATTCATTCATTTGCTCATTTTCATGTTGATTCATTCCCAGCATTGTGCTAGGTCCTGGTAGGCCACGGCTTGTGCTCGCGGTGCATTCTGCTCTGTTACCTTCAGATTCCGGGACACTGGAACCGAGCTCCCATACATCCCCAGGAATTTATTCTTCGTTTAAACCAATCCTGATTGATTGATTGATTGATTTCGAGATGGAGTCTCGCTCTGTCACCCAGGCTGGAGTGCAGTGGCGTGATCTCGGCTCACTGCAACCTCTGCCTCTCGGGTTCAAGCATTTTTCCTGCCTCAGCTTCCTGAATAGCTGGGATTACAGGTGCGCACCACCATGCCCGGCTAATTTTTGTATTTTTAGTACAAACGGGGTTTCACCATGTTGGCCAGGCTGGTCTCGAACTCCTGACCTCATGATCCACCCTCCTCGGCCTCCCAAAGTGCTGGGATTACAGGCGTGAGCAATTCTGATTTATTAATTTGCCAGAATTGACACGGTTCTGTAGCCTCCCATGTGGTTATGATTCATTTCCCTGTATTCCCAGTGCTTTCAATGGTCTCTTAGAGAGACCCTCTTCCTTACCTTTCCCTGAGATTGGCGCCTAATACATATGCAGGAAGTACAGAACTAACATTTTCTTCTGCTTGTTCTCTGTGACTCTGGAAAAAGTTGGGACTCTTTTAACCAAGTGCAATATCATGTAATAGGAATGCATGGAAAGGAGTAAAGTTTAGGTAGGGGTTCTGAATAGTAGTGGGTTTAAAATGAGTTTCTTGGAATTGATTTTGAGGGAAGAGGTAAAAGTCCCATTGTCTAGGGCTTTAAAAAATATCCTAGGCCAACACAGCATATTTTTCACTCAACAAACTGAAGTTGAACATCTGCTGTGTTCCATGACTGTGCTATGGGCTAAGGATGCAAAGCTCTGGAAGATGCAGTCTGTGTCTCTCGGCACTCACAGTGGGTAGCAGTGGTTCTCTCTGGGGAGGAGAACAGCCCGGGAATCCATCTCACTCCCTTTCCCCACCTCCCCACCTTGAGTATGGGCACTGGGCATGAAAACAGGTCATTGCAGTATTTGGGGAGAACAGGGTAGGGAGCACCTAACTCTGTCTCTGGTGGCAGTGGGATGTGCCAGCAAAGGTATCCCAGAGGAGTGGCTTTTGAACTGACTTTTGAAGGATGAATGAGAATTTTTTATGGGAAAGCATGATGGAAAGGAAGGAAGAGAGGGTTCTTTGGACTGTAGGAACGATATAACAAGTCATGGAATGGGTGAACACACCCTGGGAGGGTACAGGCAGAGCGGAGGGGAGGCCAGCACAGAACAGGGCAGGCACCAATGCTTAGCGAGGAGATGGAGAGAGTCAGCAGAGGAACCAATAAAGGTGATAAAGAAGAAACAAAATTCTACAAAGCATGTAGGAAACCAGGAGAGAGGCACTCCTGGAAGTCATGGGGAGAGAATGTTTTCAAAGAAGGGGTAATTAGCAGCAGCAAATATTCCAAGTCAGATGAAAAGAAGCAGCCATAGGCTGGCAGTCAGGATGACATAAGTGGCTTCAGCAGTTGGGTTTCAGGAGTTGGTAGGGACAGGAATCAGAGTGAGGTGAGAATAAGGTTGATGGCATAAAAACAGCAAGTGGTGTTTGGCAGTGACGGGGAGGAGGGAGAGAGTGCAGGGCAGAGAGCAGCCCTGTTGGAGCTGGAGCCTGCAGGGCCAGTAGAGTGAGGGGCTGCACAGGTGGTCAGTGGCCTGCAGAGGGCCAGGAGGGCAGACGGAGCTCTGTTTGTGGGTCTTTAGACATAAAGAAGTTGAGAAAGATTGTGCCCAGGCTGGGCACGGTGGCTCATGCCTGTAATCCCAGCACTTTGGGAGGGCAAGTCAGGTGGCTCGCTTGAGCTCAGGAGTTTGAGATTAGCCTGGGCATCATGGCAAAACCCTGTCTCTACAAATAATACAAAAAAACTAGCCGGGTGCGGTGGCTCATGCCTATCATCCCAGCTACTCGGGAGGCCGAGGCGGGCAGATCACTTGAGGTCAGGAGCCTGGCCAACAAGGTGAAACCCTGTCTCTACTAAAAAGACAAAAATTAGCTGAAGGTGGTGGTATGTGCCTGTAATCCCAGCTACTTGGGAGGCTGAGGCAGGAGAATCGTTTGAATCTGGGAGGTGGAGGTTGCAATGAGCAAAGATTGTGCCACTGCACTACAGCCTGGGCAACAGAGCGAGACTCTGTCTCAGAAAAAAGAAAACATTGTGTTCCTGGTATCCTCACTGTCCCCGTGGTGTTGGGTAGGAGGCCAGGCAGCCAGCGGCAGTGGAACAGGACAAGCTGGTGGAGGGATGCCAGAGGAGCTGGTGCTCCCAGTTTCCCTACCCTGTGAAAATATCTTACCGACTTTCCATCCCATGCCCTGCCCCAGATAGTTACCCTCACAACCTGAAACACATATTTGAAGTAAAAGATACACGTTTGAAAAGGTATTTGTGTTTTCAATATTTCTTTAGCCTCCGGTGAGAAGGAAAACGCTCAGCCCTTCGTGGTCCTGCCCAAGGAATTCCCAGTGTACCTGTGGCAACCCTTCCTCAGACACGGCTACTTCTGCTTCCACGAGGCTGCTGACCAGAAGAGGTTTAGTGCCCTCCTGAGTGACTGCATCAGGCATCTCAATCATGGTATGGCACGGCTACCCTCTCGTCCCCGGGGCGGGAAGTGGGGCAGCCCTCTCTGAGTTGTCCTGGTCCATCATCTGTTGCAGTGATTCTTAGAAAGAACCGCAGATTGGCCAAGTGCAGTAGCTCATGCCTGTAATCCCAGCACTTTGGGAAGCCAAGGCCAACAAATCACGAGGTCAGAAGTTCGAGACCAGCATGGCCAGTATGGTGAAATCCCATCTCTACTAAAAATACAAAAAAAATTTAGCTGGACGTGGTGGTGGGCACCTGTAATCCCAGCTATGTGGGAGGCTGAGGCAGGAGAATTGCTTGAACCTGGGAGGCAGAGGCTGTGGTGAGATGAGATTGTGCCACTGCACTCCAGCCCAGATGACAGCGTGAGCCTCCGTCTCAAAAAAAAAAAAAGAGCCACAAATGGTGCTGCCCCAGGGAAGAAGGGGGAAACAGGTAAAGGGAGAGTTCTATGCACAAGGAACCTAGCCTGCTTGCTGGTTTTCAGGCGGGTCCGGGAGGCCCCGGTGAAGCATAACATGGGGCAGTTATCTGGCCACAAGTTGGTGGGGGCATTCTGACTGCCCTGAGTTTATCCATGTAGACCATTTGGCATATACTTCACTCTCCTTCTTCCTGATTTAAAAAAATCTAAATGCCAGCAAGAACGTGCCAGTTTTCCCTGGCAAATGCTAGTCTTTATGACATTTCCTTCTTATTTTCACCTTTATTTCTGAATAACAGTTACTCAGTTAAGATCAGTGGCACAGTCTGTGGTAATCTAGTATTTGTTTCTGAATCGGTGGTTCTCAAAACTTTAGGGCTCATAAGAATCACCAGGAGAACTTAAATAAAACTCATATTCTTAGGCTTCACCCCCAGACATTCTGACTTACTGGGTACACCGTGGGGCCTGGACTTGGCTTTTCTAGCACAAGGCCGAGTGGCGCTGATGTTGCTGGTTCGAGAACCACCCTTGGGGTGGTGTTGCTTCAGACCATGTTGCCTCCAGGCACGGACTTAACCAATATGACGTCAATAGTAAAAGAGACTTCTCGTTCCAATATGTGATGTATATACTGAGGTGAATGCTGGTTTTTCTGGACTCCACAAAGTCTTCAGTTACAGACAACTGCACTCTTTGTTCTTGGCACTTGGAAAGGCAGCCAGTCTAAGAACACTGGGGGCTTACTCTGTGCCAGCCTCTGTGTAGGTGTTAGGAACAGGGTAATGAAGCATGCACAGTTCCTGTCTCTGGGAGATGAAATTCAAACAAGGAGGTTGGATAAACACTCACCAATTATCTTTTGAAAGTTATCACAGTTAATGTGTTAAAGAGCGACGAGAGGTTACTAACTAGTGAAGAAAGGAGTGCCGAACTTTCAGCTCTCCAGGGGAGTCCTCTATGAGCAGGTGACATTTGAGCTGAGTCACCTCACCCATGTGCCTTTTTTTCCTAATATGGTTAATTTCACTGTATACTTCTTTTAAAATTCAGAGGTTTCCCTGAGTGTGTCAGTCCCACAGAGCGAGAGTCACTAGTGATGCATCTCAACTAATTCTTGGCTTTAGCTGTGTTATTGATGGGGACTCGTGGAAAAAGATAAGGTCAGTCTGTTTTGCCATGGCAACTCTGAGTCACATTCGTCATCATACTGGCTCATAACTAGTTAGGAACTTTATGAAAAAAAGATACTTTTATTAAAATCTTGCCTTGTGGTTTTGATGTTCTAGAGACAAAGAATTGCCCAGCACTGACTGCTCCATTTAGTTCATTTTCCACTGCACTTGCCCGTCTGTGTTTAGGGCCTTGGTCTAGTAGGAACATGCAGTTGGCACTCAGCACGGGAACCGCGAAGTTTCACTGAGTGCAGAATGCTCCCTGCCCAGCCAAATGGGACTTACTGCATTCCCCCTTTCATGTACATAATAGGAATTTCTCTGAGGAGTTTTTGGATGTTATGTAGCCTGCATTTAGACTCCATTTATGGAAGATTTCAGCCCATTCAAAACCCCACTCTGCTCTCCAGTATGTTATCAAAGGCACCAAGATAATGAGGTCTAGTCATATTTCCCTGGTTCTGTGTCACATTCCTCTGCCCAGAAACTGTTTTATCCTCGCTGAGGCTTTATGCAGACTTAATTTGGCATAACTTCCAGTAGCTCCAGTCAGAACCAGAAGCTGTGATGACATTGTAGGGAACAGTCCTTGACTATCATGGGCCAAAGAGCCGACCTTTCTTTTCTCGCCTCTTTTTCTGTTTTTGACAGCACTATGTACCACTCATCTTTATTGTGTCACATTTTCTGTTCTAGCCTGTTACTCATTGCATTATTTTGAGTAAACCAGAAACAGGCTTTCACAAGCTGCCACTTAACCACTTTTTCCCATAATTACCCAAAAACTTAAGAAATAGATTTAAAATTAGAGCTGGGATAAAGGCTAGAAACCCTGAGGTGGCTGCTGGGAGCCTGCTATCCTCTACCTGCATGTAGGTGAGGAAGGGCTGTCAGCCTGCTGTGGCCATTGCTTCATTGGCTCTCAGGCCACCATATTTCTCTGTTGAGAACTGGGTCCTAGGCATTCTAGTATCAGAGGCGTGTAAACCAGAGCAACTCCATCTTAAACAGGAGCTGGGTAAAATGAGGCTGAAACCTCCTGGGCTGCATTCCCAGACGGTTAAGGCATTCTAAGTCACAGGATGAGATAGGAGGTCAGCACAAAATGCAGGTCATGAAGAACTTGCTGATAAAACAGGTTGCAGTAAAGGAGCCAGCCCAAACCCACCAAAACTAAAATGGCGACAAGAATGACCTCTGGTCATCCTCACTGCTATACTCCCACCAGTGCCATGACAGTTTACAAAACCATGGCAATGTCAGGAAGTTACCCTACATTGTCTAAAAAGGGGAGGCATAAATAATCCACCCCTTGTTTAGCATATCGTCAAGAAATAACCATAAAAATGGGCAACCGGCAGCCCTCGGGGCTGCTCTGTCTATGGAATAGCCATTCTTTTGTTCCTTTCCTTTCTTAATAAACTTGCTTTCCCTTTGCACTGTGAACTCATCCTGAATTCTTTCTTGTGCGAGATCCAAGAACCCTCTCTTGGGGTCCGGATCAGAGCCCCTTTCTTGTAACACTAACAGCTGATGCTAGGCATGTTGATCTCGCTTGGGGTTCCAGGACATGTTGCCAAGTACTCAGATTCCACCACAACCCAGCCCACTTGCCCCAGAAATATTGGGTCCGAATGTGGCTACATGTTAATGTTGATTCATTCTGAATCTAGAACCCCCTTGTCCTACTCTTCCTTATAGGGTGGGCGTTTCCTGTTTAACCCTGATGAAGGGCCTGATTGTGCCCTGTTCTCCAACAGTAAGGCTAGCTTCTAAGGTAGGTAAGGGCCAGTAGAGAGCTCTGTGTTTCTCCCTTCTTCAAAGGGGAGAGCAGCCTTTAGGAGCCTCAAAGATTATTTTGTATCCTAAGGAGAACAAAGGGACAAAGGGGTGTGTGGGGGGGAGGGTGCATGTGTGTCTGTGTGTGCATGCTCACATGTGTGCTTTCACATGTGTTTTGTTTTTATTTAGTTTTGGCACCTCTTCATTGGGCAGGCATAAGAAAATCGCATAAGATTAATCCTTAGTAAAACATCCCACTCCACGTCACTGGACTAAATGTCAAGCCCACTGTATAGCATGATCCTAGAGCAGCAGCTGCTGTCCTCTGTCCCTTTTGGAGTCACACTTTAATCCCTTGTCCCTTGATCAGGGAAAGCCATAGTTCTGAATGTCTGCTGCCACAGAATGAGACTTATATAAAGCCAAGATGTTCTGAGACAGTCCTGTTGTCCAAAATGCAATCCTATTCTTCAGAACTTTAGTTTGCAAAATATGATCATTGTAGTTATGGGGTATAGTTAAAGCTCCTGACAATACAGAGGACTGAACACATGCGATATGGAATAATGATCATTATTGATGCAAGTCTGTTCTTCCAGCTCAGGATAATCATTTCTTGGCATGTAAATGTGCAGGAAGGGGAAAAAGTGTTCCTGGCAGGAGGAATAGGATACAGGAGGGCCAGGAAGTAAGATAGAGCATGGACCATTACAGGAGCAGAAAGAATTTTGTGTGACTGGTACTTAGAGAGGAGAGAGGAAGATGGGCAGACTCCATACTATAAAGGGCTTTGTTATGCATATTAGGAACCTGGACTTGATTATAACAGCAATAGGAAGCCATTAGGATTTTAAGCAAATGAGCAACTTCATCAGATATTCACTTCAGAAAGTTCACAATGGCTGCAGTGTAGGCAGTGGATGAGAGGGTAGCATGGTGGGTGGCCAGGAGGCCACTTAAAAAACTTTGACTGGCAAGAGATGACAGTAGCTTGCACCAGAGTGAGGGAAGGCATTTGTCAATATCAAGCCACGGTACTCAGCCTAAAGGATTTGGGGGAACAGAAGAACTGGATGTTAGAAGACAGCCATCACTGGATGAATGCTGATTCTGGAAAGGAGGTGGAATGCTGGCAAAGTTTTGCTCAACAGTGCTGTGCTAGCTTGAAGGACACCCAGGACTGCCATTAAACAGATGCCAGTGTTCACATGGTCATAAAAACTAAGAAAGAGAGGATGGTAGAATATCTGGGAAGCATGAGTGCACACAGGTTGAAAAAAAGATAGTATCAAAGAAAAGCCCTTAGAATTTTGGTGAAAAAACCACAGCAATGTAAAGACACTTTGCAAACCATTGCTTCAAGTAAGACTAGTTCAATCACTTATGACAGTGGTAACATCCAATGTTGTTTGTATGCAGTGAGTCAGGTGGAATGTGGAGCTATAGCAGTGATTATGTGTTGGAATTGGTTACTCTGTCAGTATTACAGGCCTTGAGCGCTTACCCCAGAAATCCCATGTCTTTATCACATTTGATTTTGATACTTGCAAATTTTAGGTGTTCAATAAATGTTGCAGAATTAAATTGAAATTTAGAACAACAAAGGA